TAAAAGCCATGTGATCCCCAACAATGGTCTTCTCCTATTTGCTCCCTTTTGGTCTTTTGAATATCCCATTGATAGAGTTTAGTTATATATGTTTGATAAGTGCAAAAAAAAAAATCCTTTCGCCCAGGGGCGTCCCGAGGCCGGGTGTCACCTGGAGCGGAGGAGTGAGCCCTTGGTGATGGACGCCGGCAGAGAGAGGAGGGGATGTTCACCCGGCGGGATGAGGTATGCCGCCGGGTCCCCTCCTCTCTCCTGACACTGTTGGGCTCTCGGTCCATGACCAAATGCCCGACTTTTCATAGGGGGTGACACCAAAATGACTGTCAGTCATTTTGGTGTCACCCCTCCAATGGTGGACCGGGTGCGGGCCGCACTCCCTTTGTGACACCACTGCTTTCGACCCTGCTAGGAATCCAGTGTTGTCCAGTGACCTGTGCACTCTACAGTGTTATTTCAAACTGGGTTAGCAGCTAATGCTAACTCTAACCGTAGTGCTAACCAACCCTAATCCTAATTCTAACACTGGCCCTAAGTGAAAGTGCAAACTCTATCGTTAACACTCGCCCTAATGCTAGCAGACCCTGATCCTAACCCTAACACTATCCCCAATGCCAACCCTAACACTGGCCCTTATGCTAACCCTAATGATAACCCAAACACTATCCCAAATGCCAACCCTAACCCTAAGGCTCTGTTCACACCTAGGCGTATCGAATATACGCGTTTGGGGCGACAAAAACGCCCCAAAGAAGCTCCTGTACTTCTTTGGGCGTAGGGCGTTTTGTAGCGCGCTCATACGGCCTGTAATACGCCCGGGTGTGAACCATACCCATGGGAAATAATGGGGATTTCGGTGTTTGAGCGTTTTGCAGAGCGTTCGAACGCGCTACGAAACGCCCAGGTGTGAACCGGGCCTAATGATAACCCTAACACTATCCCAAATGCCAACCCTAACCCTGGCCCTTATGCTAACCCTAACTCTAACTGTAATGCTAAGCTACTCCAATACTAACCCTAATGCCAACACTACTGTTAATACTAACCCTAATAACTCTAATACTAACTCTAACTCTGGGCCTAACCCTAACCCTCTAATGCTAACCCTACTGCTAATACTAACACTGGCCCTAACACTGGCCCTAATATTATCCCTAATGCCAACCCCAGTGCTGAATTGGTGGTCACATGATTTTTTTAAGACACTAAAGCCATGTGATTTCTATAATGGTTGCTTATATTTTCTTTTAAATTTGAATTTACATTTCCTTCATATGAAGTAGTTGTATTACAACCAGTATTTTTTATTTAACATTGTATAATAAGAATAATAACATTGTATAATAAGAATAATAACATTGTATAATAAGAACTCACTATTGTGCCACGCGGATTTTGGGGTTAAAATGTCAGATTGTTCAATGATATACGGCAGTCTAGTGACTGCGGGCGTGAGTGGAAGTCATGTGAGTGGAATATGTTGTCAGAGCCGCGCACTCTCTGATGCTTTATATATTTTCATGGCAACATTTCAGCATGGGTGGAGCCGGTATCTTCACGGCAAAATCCATTTCAGCCAATATGTTATGTTTTGTATGTTGCACATATGTTGAGAGGCCCCATGTTGGGTGCCATTTTTTGTTGCACATATAATGAATTAAGAGTGTGATAGGGGAGGGTGGAATGGAATGTATAACATTGTATAATAAGAATAATAACATTGTATAATAAGAATAATAACATTGTATAATAAGAATAATAACATTGTATAATAAATAATAACATTGTATAATAAATAATAACATTGTATAATAAGAATAATAACATTGTATAATAAGAATAATAACATTGTATAATAAGAATAATAACATTGTATAATAAATAATAACATTGTATAATAAGAATAATAACATTGTATAATAAGAACTCACTATTGTGCCACGCGGATTTTGGGGTTAAAATGTCAGATTGTTCAATGATATACGGCAGTCTAGTGACTGCGGGCGTGAGTGGAAGTCATGTGAGTGGAATATGTTGTCAGAGCCGCGCACTCTCTGATGCTTTATATATTTTCATGGCAACATTTCAGCATGGGTGGAGCCGGTATCTTCACGGCAAAATCCATTTCAGCCAATATGTTATGTTTTGTATGTTGCACATATGTTGAGAGGCCCCATGTTGGGTGCCATTTTTTGTTGCACATATAATGAATTAAGAGTGTGATAGGGGAGGGTGGAATGGAATGTGAGGATTAGCAGCAATTATATGGAGGACACTCATCAAAGGGGTGTAACTGAGAGGAAGTTCCCCCCAGAAACAAGCAAGTCAGTTCCCCCTTCCACTTCCTGTGCACACTGTGTTCTGGGCAATGTGCCCTCACTCTAAAGACAGAATTCTAGTTCCGGGTGTGATCACTGGGTGTATATTTGTGTTTTATTTTGAGCGCTGTCTTTTTTTTACTTGACATGTAGGTAGTGTAGCGTCAGTGAGCGCTGACCGCTGTCCCTCTCTGTCCACCAGGTAACACTCTGGACTCTGCTAGTGTCACTGCTGCTGCTGCTATCGTTCATGGCTACCACCGTGTCTTCGACTCCAATCATGGAAGGTCCACCCAATGAGGAAAGCGACACCCTGGCAGTGCCTGACCCCAGGAGTACTGAATTTGTGGTGGAGGAGGACATAGATGTGTCCATTAAAACAACCTGGACGTCTATTTATGGTGAGTGGGAGAGATGTTGTTATAGGTTATATATATGTTATACAAACATGCTGCGGCCACTGCAGATCCCGCTCTTCACGTGGAGCTTCTTATCCATTTTGTAAGGAGGATGCAGTAGGAGGAGGGGGGATCATACAGCCCAATGTGACCGTGTCTGCAAGAGACCCCCTGACCCCACCCCATACGCAACTCTATCGCAGCCAGTGTTGGCAATACAAGGAAGTGGTGACATCACTCCCTTGGGCATGTGACAGTGCACTGTCCGTGTCATAGGGGGAGCAGGTCACATTCTCCCCCATACCTAAAAGTATTGGCAGCTGGGTGAGGGTGCACAGGCAAGGTAAGCATATGGGGGTAAGGGGGCGGGGGAGGGGCTTTTGCAAAGACAAAGTGAATAGCGGCGTGTTTCTCCTCACAGCCGCCATCAGTGACAGGCAGCAGCCTGAGATGCCATAGCTACCCAGGCGGCCCGCACGGCATCAGGGGAATGTCCTGGCCGGGCCCCCCTGTGCCTCGGGGCCCCATAGCGGCCGCCTGGTTTGCTATGGTGATTGTTACGCCACTTGGTACAATGT